GCTAGAAGTGAGGAAAGAATTGGCATCTAACCCGAAGTTGGTGCAAAACACAGTTGATCGGAGTAAGTCCCTGATCATTTTTGGCTGCAAAGAAAAGGCGATAACATCTAGGTCAGAAAGAGCTGTAGAAGAAGCTAAAGTAGTAGATAAAATTGTTGGCCTCGTGGAAGGTCTTACAAACAGAGAGAATGTGTGCGACTACAGGAGAATAGGCAGGTACGTAAAAGGGAAAGATCGACCTTTGAGGATCACCCTAAACGGTGCCAAACAGATGGAAGAAGTACTAAGGAATGCTAGAAAATTGCAAAGGGATGAGGATGGGAAAGGGTGGTCGTTAAGACGAGATCTTTCAAAAGAAGATAGAGAGAAGCTGAAACTGAACCTCGCCGAGGCAAAACATTTAAATGAGAGCAGGAATGAAGAAGAAATAAATTCTTTTTTCTACAAAGTGATAGGGGTAGGCAAACCAGTAAAGTGGTACATAAAGGCAAACCAACAAAATCAATAGAGAGAGGGGGAGTGAAGAATAAGGAGAGGGGGAACAAGTTCCTGAAGATTGCATGCACCAACATAGATGGAGTGAGATCGAAGATACTGGAGTTAAGTGATGTAATACAGCTGCAGACACCAGACATTGTTGCACTCACGGAGACAAAACTTGAAGATGTAATTTTAAATGAGGTCATATTCCCAAGGGGCTACTCAATTTGGAGACGGGACAGAAAAATTAGGAAAGGCGGTGGCGTTGCTGTGCTGGTAAAAGAACACCTAAAGGTGAAGGAAATAATGACTGCCAATCCACAAGAAGTTGACATAATAGCACTAGAGATCTGCTATGAGGATGATAAACTAATGATGATAAATGCATATAGTCCACCGCCAAGCAGCACATGGTCAAAGGAGGAGCTAGATAGTAAACGTGAAGGTCTTATAACAATAATGAGAGAGATTATAGCGAGAGCGGATAACGATAGATCACGACTGTTGATAGTCGGTGACTTCAACTTGAAATCCATAGACTGGGAAGCATATGAAGCTAAAACAGAAGATTTTTGGACCTGTAAATTTGTAGACCTCATCCTGGAAACATTCTTGTATCAACATGTTAAACAAGCTACGAGGATGAGGGAAGGGGTCGTTCCCTCCATGCTAGATTTGATATTTACCAGGAAGGAGGAAGAGATATTTGACATTCAGTACCTTCCTCCCTTGGGTAAAAGTGACCATGTCTTTTTGGGAATAAAGTATGCAATGCGTTATAAGCTGGAAGAAAATAAGGAGGTTGAAGCAGTTGAAAAACCAGACTTCAGGAGAGGACATTATGGTGACCTTAGAAATTTTTTTAGTGAGTATAATTGGACAGACTTGATGCTAGGCAAGGAAGTGAATGAGATGTATGGCAAGTTTTGTGAAATATATGATAAAGGCACAAAAAAATTTATACCAAAACAGAGATGCAGGACCAGAAAACAGGATTGGTTCGACAGAAATTGTGAGAGGGCAAGAGACCAAAAGACACAAAAATGGAATCAGTATAGGAAGAGGCCAAACCCCCAAACATACCAGCGATACAAAGATGCGAGAAACAATTATACAGCAGTAAGGAGAGAGGCAGAAAGAAATTTTGAAAAAGGGATAGCAGATAAATGTAAAACAGAACCGGGCCTATTCTACAAATTCATAAACAACAAATTGCAGGTAAAGGATAATATCCAGAGGTTGGAAATGGGAAACAGATTCACGGAAAATGAAAAGGAAATGTGTGAAACATTAAATGAAAAGTTCCAAAGTGTGTTTGTACAAAATGAAATCTTCAGAGAACCAGACACAATAAGAATTCCAGAGAACAACATAGAGCGGATAGAGGTGTCTAGAGATGAAGTGGAAAATATGCTAAAGGAGCTCGGGAGGAACAAAGCAGCTGGCCCAGATGGCGTTTCACCATGGGTTCTGAGAGAATGTGCATCTGAGCTCAGCATTCCACTTCACCTGATCTTTCAGGCATCCCTGTGTACAGGAATCGTAGCAGACGTGTGGAAACAGGCTAACATAGTTCCAATCTACAAAAGTGGCAGCAGGGAAGACCCCCTCAATTATAGACCTGTATCATTGACAAGTGTAATAGTGAAAGTATTGGAAAAGCTAATCAAAACTAAATGGGTAGAACACCTGGAGAGAAATGATATAATATCAGACAGACAGTATGGTTTTCGATCAGGAAGATCCTGTGTATCGAATTTACTCAGTTTCTATGATCGGGCCACAGAGATATTACAGGAAAGAGATGGCTGGGTTGACTGCATCTATCTGGACCTAAAAAAGGCTTTCGACAGAGTTCCACATAAGAGGTTGTTCTGGAAACTGGAAAATATTGGAGGGGTGACAGGTAAGCTTCTATCATGGATGAAAAATTTTCTGACTGATAGAAAAATGAGGGCAGTAATCAGAGGCAATGTATCGGAATGGAGAAATGTCACAAGTGGAGTACCACAGGGTTCAGTTCTTGCACCAGTGATGTTTATTGTGTACATAAATGATCTACCAGTTGGTATACAGAATTATATGAACATGTTTGCTGATGATGCTAAGATAATAGGAAGGATAAGAAATTTAGATGATTGTCATGCCCTTCAAGAAGACCTGGACAAAATAAGTATATGGAGCACCACTTGGCAAATGGAATTTAATGTTAATAAATGTCATGTTATGGAATGTGGAATAGGAGAACATAGACCCCACACAACCTATATATTATGTGAGAAATCTTTAAAGAATTCTGATAAAGAAAGAGATCTAGGAGTGGTTCTAGATAGAAAACTATCACCTGAGGACCACATTAAGAATATTGTGCAAGGAGCCTATGCAATGCTTTCTAACTTCAGAATTGCATTTAAATACATGGATGGCGATATACTAAAGAAGTTGTTCATGACTTTTGTTAGGCCAAAGCTAGAATATGCAGCTGTTGTGTGGTGCCCATATCTTAAGAAGCACATCAACAAACTGGAAAAGGTGCAAAGACATGCTACTAAGTGGCTCCCAGAACTGAAGGGCAAGAGCTACGAGGAGAGGTTAGAAGCATTAAATATACCAAAACTAGAAGACAGAAGAAAAAGAGGTGATATGATCACTACGTACAAAATAGTAACAGGAATTGATAAAATCGACAGGGAAGACTTCCTGAGACCTGGAACTTCAAGAACAAGAGGCCATAGATTTAAACTAGCTAAACACAGATGCCGAAGAAATATAAGAAAATTCACCTTCGCAAATAGAGTGGTAGACGGTTGGAACAAGTTAAGTGAGAAGGTGGTGGAGGCCAAGACCGTCAGTAGTTTCAAAGCGTTATATGACAAAGAGTGCTGGGAAGACGGGACACCACGAGCGTAGCTCTCATCCTGTAACTACACTTAGGTAATTACACTTAGGTAATTACACACAGCATGTATAATTATAATGGGGTAGGGGATATATAAGTATACAGGGGTACCTTGGTTTAAGAGTTAAATCCATTCCTGGAGACAGCTCGTAAACCAAAGCTAATTTCCCCATAAGAAATCATGGGAAATGAATCAATCCGTTCCTGACTACCCAAAAACTTCACTTCAAACTAAATTTTACCTAATTCATCCAAATCTACACTTCAAAAGTATGTTCAAGTTATTACCCTTGCAGATGACTCCTGTTGGCGTATGGAAGATGGTGAGGAGGGGGGAGGAGGAGAGGTGTTACTGTTTGGAAGGGGAGTCCCCTTCCATTATAACATCAAGCAGTAAAGATTTTTCTGGAGTGCACTCTGGCACGTTTTGCCTGCATACCACTAGGACCTGCTTGTGGCTCGCTGCTTGCTTGTTTTACTAAGAATCTGTCTAAAGACAATTGTTTTTCCCTACATTTTAACACTTGTCTGTAGTAAGACATCACATTGTCATTTAAAAGGTCAATGCAATGGCCTGCTACAGCTTTATTTGGGTGAGTTTTTTCAACAAAACTTTGCAGTTCTTCCCATACTTCACACATTTTCTTAATGAGGAAGGAACATCCTCTACTGCCTCTACTCACAACTATTTTCTTAGGTTGAACCTTACCACTGGCTTTCTTGGGACCCATGGCAAGATGTATAATAACAACTTTTATGTTCAAATGGCAAAAAATCCGAGAAAAAACTAAATCCTCGTTAAGAATTCAGGCGGGATAGTCACTGGGCTCCAGGCACTGGTAAACTGAGGTATGATCGCCGTGCCACCGCGCACGATCCCAATTCTCATCAAATGCCCAATTCTGGGTGAGCTCCGGTGAGCTACCTACATCCGAACAGAGCATAATAACTCCCCCCCCCCCCTCCATGGAAAACAAACAAACAAATCATCATCCAGTGATTTGGATGATGATTTGGCACACACTCGTTTGCGCCTTTACCCCACGATGGGGGGGAGGGGAAGGGGTAGCATGCACATCACCATGCACTCGACTGATGTGCATGGTGGTCAGAAATCACCTCTGGCCTCGCTTTCATGTCTGGATTTTGCCCTGTGTGGCTGTACCAGCTGTGTGGTGGTGGTGGTGGTGTGGAGGCTAGGTGTTTCTGGTACTCTGTAGCTGCATGCGCCTAGGGGCACCTTCCCTAGGTGCTCCTTTGCGTATTCAGGGTTTTCTTCCCTGGGACATTTGGGTCTCACTTCCGTAGAGGCCTTCGTCGATTGGTGTTGGTTTTCGGCCTTGGAGTACATCGGGCGTCTTAGGCTTGCTGTCTTGCCCCGGGCAGGGAGTGGGTTTTTGACGGGTGGGGCAAAGTTTGCTCACGCAGCGACCGACGTTTCTCTCTGGCCATCAGTTTGGTCAGTTTGCCTGCTCATTGACAGAGTTTACCATCTTAGCTAGCCCAGTGCACACCCAGAAATTTGAGTAATTACATTCAATGCTAGTTTTTTATGCATTAAAATTAGTGAGTTTATTAATGTGCTCCTTTAAATGAAATAATGTGAATGAATTTATTGCAGGAGGTGGTTAACAAGTTAAGGCAGATGAATGAGGAGAAGAATGTGGGGATGTGTTACAACCCATGGAAAGAGCACCTTGTGTCAGACAAGAGCATAGCAGACAGCGTTGAAGCTCTGATTGGGGCTTACCTGCTTGTTGGTGGTAATGAAGCAGCTGTCAATTTTCTTCATAAGTTGGGCCTAGGTGTTTATAATGTAAGTGATATGTTGTTGGAAATTATAGCACAGTACAGTGTATGTAAAATTATTGTATAAAACTATTGCTTGTAATCAGGCTGTTAGGGAAATAAACAGGATTTGCTACCTTGAGGTTACCTTGAGGTGCTTCCGGGGCTTAGCGTCCCCGCGGCCCGGTCGTCGACCAGGCCTCCTGGTTGCTGGACTGATCAACCAGGCTGTTGGACGCGGCTGCTCGCAGCCTGACATATGAGTCACAGCCTGGTTGATCAGGTATCCTTTGGAGGTGTTTGTCAAAGTTCTCTCTTGACCACTGTGAGGGGTCTGCCAGTTATGCCCCTTATGTGCTAGGGACTAAAAATTCAACATATAGTGAAGGACCTCTTTCTGGTGGTCTGTCTGTAGCTTCTCGCGTAGCTTCTCATGGTGCCCACCTGGACCCTTCCAAAACTTCGATGCCACACCAGGCTCCAGTGGTTCATGAGCAGCTACGAGATAAGGACCAGAATCTGGTTCCTTCAGCTGAGGCAAAAGGGAAGTCTGAGGTTTCAAAATCACCACAATACCAAGAGAAAAGCCACTAGACAGAAAGAGCACTCCAAAACACTAACTGCATTGATAACCTTTGGATCTCTAGGCTTGAGACCTCACAACAGTGTGACTAGAAAAAAAATTCATATTAAACAGAAAAACAAGCACATATCCCACAAACAATGAGGTCTAAAAGGAAATCCAATACTTAGCTGCTTAGCTAAAATAGGAAGCCAGGATGGGCAGCAGAGCACTTACGAGTTTGCTCATCACCAAGTGCATGATTGATCAAGGCTGCCATCTGAAGGCAAACAAGTGTTGCTAACTAGTGGTTGGTTCTGAACAACTAGTCAATACATAGTTTGCATTAGGTTTACCAATTTTTTCCAGGCAGTTACTTGTTTTTTGGCGGTGTCCCTTGTGGCTCCCTGAAACTATTTTGCTGAGATGGCTCCCAACTACTAAGTCAAATCAGCTGTGGAGTTCTGGTTGGCCTGCTGGGGACCAGTGCCAGAACCTGGCTTTCCCCCACAAAGGTGCAAAGAGTAGGTGACACTCATCCATCCCACCAGGAAAGCATCCCGAAAGTCAGCGAACCAATACAGACCACTGCTAATTTCAAAGAGACTAAAGCCTCAAAATTGCTGAACAAACTCTCCCAGCAATGTAAATAAACAATCGAATCTCTCGAAAGAGTGCAAGCTCGTTAGCACTACCCCCCCCCCCTCACTAGTTAGAGAGGGAGCCTGGAGCCTCCGGTGCCCACTGGGCTATGAAGTCATTTCTGTTGCTGATGTGGGGGAGGCAGCTTCTGTCTCTCCATGCCGATTGTGGCTCCTGTTCCTGGCCAGGTTGGGGTCTGCCTCGGAAGTGTTCCTGGCTAACTGGTGGTCGGCTCGGCCCTGGTTCAGGTTTCGGGTGCTGGCCTTCCTCAACGACTGGTTTGTGTGGGCTTCCAGCCGGTCTGCGTGTCTACTCACCAGGGATTTGGTTCTTTCCCAGCTCGCCAGGTTTGGGTTCTTGGTGATCTGGTGGGAGTCCCTTCTGGTTCCCTCCCGGGTTCGGCCTTGGCTGAGTCTTGTGTGGGGCTCTCGGACCTCTTCCTTGTCTCCCTCCGGAGTCTCTGCTTCGGCTGCCGTACCATCTTCACTTGCTCCCGGGTCGCCTGGCGGTTGCTTGAGAGTTCTGTGGGTGCTTGAACTTTGCCGGGTCAGGTTTGGCTTCCTCAGCTGTTCTGGTTCCTTTGGGGACTTCGTTCCGCCTCTCTCGCAATTGCTGGATTCAGCCTTTGGGGGGGGGGGCTTGCGTCGGTTGCTGCATCGCCGGCTTCCTCAGGGTTTTTTTGGGTTCAGTGCCTTGGAGCCTACCCGTTTCCTCGCTCGATGTGTTCATGGACGCTTGTTTAACACGCTTCCACTACATATAAGGGGCATAACTGGCCGACCCCTCACAGTGTACAAGAGTGAACTGGATAAGCACCTTCAAAGGATACCTGATCAACCAGGCTGTGATTCATACGTCAGGCTGCGAGCAGCCGTATCAAACAGCCTGGTTGACCAGTCCAGCAACGAGGAGGCCTGGTCGACGACCGGGCTGTGGGGACGCTAAGCCCCGGAAACACTTCAAGGTTACTTCAAGGTAACGGGCGTGTCATCTCTAGGCTGCCGGTTTAAGCCCAATGCTCACCAGGTCGGCCTGGGACCGTGGATTCTGTCCTTCCGTCAGGCCCACAGCATGCTGAGGGAGTTCGCAGCGGTGTGTTATTCACTTCAGAGGGTTCAGGTCGCCTGCGATTCGGTGATCTGGCTCCATTCGGACTGCTCCCCAGTGATTCTTTGCCTGTACCAAGGGGGCATGATGCTCTTTGGCTCTTTGAGGCTGGTCGCTTCGGGAGACTCGCCTGCTGAGTTCTTGGTCAGGCAGGACTGGTCGGTCGGGGTGGGGGATCGTGCAGCGCAGGCGGAGCTGCTTCAGCTTGCTTTCGGTATTGATGTCACGTCTGCGCTGTTTCGCAAGCTGTCTCGTGCGTAGTTTCACCTCCAGCCTGCTCATGCGCCGCCTGAGCCATCCTGGTCATTGGACAGGGTGCTCTCTTTTCTCTCTTCTCCTCGGTTTGTGTGGCCCCTTCGGTTCAGGATTTTTCTCGAAGGCTCTTTTCCTGTTGGCATTGGCTTATGGGGGTCGGGTCGGGGAGCTTCTTGCTCTCCTCCGGCGCATGGGTTTCTGCACTCAGTCAAGGCGATCGGTTTGTTCGTCTGCAGCTGTCTCCTTTTCTGGCGAAGAATGAGACTGCTGCTTTTCGGAGGGGTCCTTGGGATGTTGATGCTTGGTTGATCAGGTTGGGGGTGCATCCTGTTTTGTGTCCGGTTGAGGCCCTCTGCCGTTATTTGCACGCCACGGCTTCTGTGTCCAGGGACACGCTTTGGGTTGATCCGGTTTCCCTTCTTCCCTGTTCGAAGGTGTGGGTCTCCCAGGTCGTTCTCAGGGTTATTAAGGCTAGCCAAGCCTGCGGTCTATTCCCATGCCCATGACGTTCGTAAGTTTGCTGCTCTTGTTGCCGTCTTTGGCAACACGTCCTGGTGTAACACGGGTAGGGGTTATCGTCTCTGATCTTCTCTTGAAACCTCCTTACCTCTTGCCCATATTCTATTTACTTCTCTTCTACCAAGGGACCCCAGAGCTACTCTAAGCCGAATCCCACGCCACTTGGTCTTAGCCTTTTTGACCAGCTAAGATTCTACAGCCTCACGACATGGTACTAGACTCCCAGCAAACTCTAGAATCTCCTTCTGCTGCCACCACCAGACCATTAACACGAAGCGCAATAACCGGGGTCTGGACCGATTAAGCACTCAATAAACCTTGGGGCTTGATCCCCAGTTATTTGGAACAGGAGGGAAGAATCTACATTAAGTGTGGGAAATTTTAGCAAACAAAGGGATAGCTGAACTCTTACACTTTGTTAGGCTTGCGGCCCAACTAAATTCAGACTCGTGGAGACCACGTGCCAAGGACAAAGAGTATGAAAACATGGAAAATAATGAAATGCAAATTACAACTAATTGGTTTATTTAATCAAAATCTAAATAAAAGCACTCCCTAGAGTCATGATATGACTATTTTCCTCTAGAAAACTCAAGCAGACTCTACCTTTTACTGCAACCAGCTAGATGTAGTGCTGATCGTGGGTAGAGGTGGAGATGGAGGACCTCTCCCAGTTGTTGATCAGTCCACACTGACTAGCCCTTCGTCACCACGAGGCTAGGGTATTCCTACGCCAGGTTCACTAAGTTTACTAGCAAGGTTTTAAGTTGAACAACTAATCTCTGTTGTACTGAACATCCCAGATGGTTGAACTCTTTTAAACTGAAGATAATTGCACAGGAATTTTAGGGAAAGGCTATTTCCAATTACAAAATGGCTATTTGACCTTTGAGAATTACTAAATGTGGAAGGCTTTGGTGACCTGTGATCTCGGGTCGCCCAAATTGTTCCGCGTCAAAGGCTAGCCCCCTGCTCGTGACGTCACTGATGGTGACTTACTCAGTGTTCCAACAATTGATGATATTCTTGATACTTTAAACGGAATACTATTGAATACAATTTGAATGAAGACTTGAAACTTCTCTAAATTACTGAATTCTGTAAAATAATTCATTATACGTTGCTTAAGACAAAGACGCCGGCCATTTGTGATCTAAACTGCTAATCCCCAGGGAGAGACTCCGTGACGTCTCGTCAGGTCAACTACCACTTATCTCTAACTTTTGTACAAGGGCGTATCCCACTGCCTTCCATACAATTATTTATTTTAAAACAGCTTCAGTTGTTACACTGGGCTGCCATTAAGGCATGGGGTTTTTGGCAGTCAAGCAGGGTCTTGGCTGCTCGCTACCTCGTAAACGTTCCTGGGCCTAGTCGGGCCTGTGTCGCTTTGGGTCGGCAGTTGCAGTCAGTTGTCTCGACTTCGAGTTAAGGAGTTAGCAGCGACCGCCTCTCAGGTAAGTCCCTCATCTTTTCTTCTGTGGGTTTTTAGCTCCGTGAAGCACGAAAGGGCTCCCTCCAGAAAACCAGAGATGAATATAATAAAATGCCATTTTCTAGGTGAGACACGGAGGCTCCCCGGCATCCCTCCCTCCCCTCGATCGGCAGTTTTTCGTGTTTTGATGTCTAGCTTCAGAATTGAAGGGTGGACAGCCAGCGTGAGGGTCTGGGGCTACATCTTCCCACTCCCGGGGAGGGGGGAACTTTGCAGACAGCGGCGTGGCGATGTGTGACATCATGCTCGTTTGCTCGTTTCTTTTTGGGGAGTTCTATCCACTTGTTCGGCTTTTGGTTGAAATTTTCCACCGTAATAGGGGTTTGTTTTGAGACGCTTACCTTTCTGGATGCCTGACCCGGTCGATGGCAGACATAGAATGCTTCCAACCACACGGGGGTTTCTATAGGCCATTGCTTCTCCATGCTTCTATGAGAGGGCCTGGTTCTGGCTCATGGTCGCCGGTAGGCCCATAAGAACTCCATACACGTGACTAATGCCAAAGTCTGACATTAGCATATCAGCCTAGTAAGCTCCGGGGAGCCTCTGGGTCTCACCCAGAAAATGATGTTTCATTACATTCAATGCTAGTTTTTTTCATGTTTTGACATCCAGCCTCAGAACTGAGGGTGTGGTTAGCCGGCGTGAGGGGTCTGAGGCTCTCCCCTTAGCTGCGCAGATGGCGGCGCAGCATGTGGTGACGTCATGCTTGTTTGCTCGTTTTCATTTGGGGAGTTCTGTCCACTCGTTTGACTTTCAGTAGTAGTTTCAACCAGAATAGGGGGTTTGTTTTGGGATGCTTACCTTTCTGGTACCTGACCCGGTTGATAGCAGACATAGAATCCTCCATAACCACATGTGCAATGCTATAGGCCATTGCTGCTCATGCCTCTCTTGAGGGGGCTAGGTTCTGGCTTGTGGTCCCCGGTAAGCCTAGAACTCCATTCACAATGACTGATGTCAAAGTCTAATATATACATATCAGCCCTGGATAGCTCCAGGCAGCCTCCAGGTCTCACCCAGAAAATGGCATTTCATTACATTCAATAATGTTTTTTTGTGCGATTTATCTCCCTTGTGGGTTTTAATTTTTACCCGGGTTAATCTGGGACTCATTAAAAAAAAACTCCTAAGATGCTTTTAAATCTTTTAAATCACTCCTAAGTGATAATGATTGTAAAACTAAGAAATTATATTTCAGAATGAGTCGCTGCTGAAATCACAGCTAGAGATCGCGTCTCCAGTGCTGAGCAAAGAGTCATGGGTAGGATGTGAATTAAGAAGACTTTACAAGATTGCTTGTCTTGATCGATTAGAGAACAAAATACAATATCATTTCAGCAATACAGGTTTTATTGTGCAGGCTGTAACTCACAGCTCTTATTCTTCCAACAAGGTATGATGTAATGAAATATTTACGTAATGTAGGCCGCCATTGTTGAATACTGAGTTTTACATATGATGTATATAATGTCATTTATTCAGTGGAGAGCCCTGTCAGCTCCCTGATGCTATCTTACTGATTAACTGCCATACTATGTAAGTGTCATCAGTTGCAGAGTTCTTTTTGCCTACCAGGAACCACGAGCCAGAACCTGGCCCCCCCTCAGAGAGCCACAGAGCAATGGCCCATGGACACTTTACATTTAAAGTTTATCATCTTACGACCAGCGAAGGTACTCAGAAAGATAGGCGTATCAAAACAAACCACTGCATGGTTTAACACAAGACCATAGCCCACTAAATGTCAAAAGAACTTCCCCAAACAGAAAACAAACAACCAAAACTTCGTTAAACCAGCTAGTTAGGTCCACATTCCCCCCTAGTTGGGAGAGGAGAAAGCCGACCCAAGACCAGACAGTTCTTGACTTATGTTGTGTGTTTCCTGTGGTGTTTCCTGTGGTGCTTCCCCTCACTGGCTTTTGCCCATTTGTTCCTTTGCCATGGGTAGATACCTGGATTGTACTTGGATGGGGTTCTAGGAGTTCTTCTACTTCCCAAGCCCAGCCTGGAGCCAGGCTTGACTTGTGAGAGCTTGATTTAACAGGCTGATACTTGGAGCGGCCTGTGGGCCGCTCTAAGCAAGCGACCTGCAGGCCCACATATCCATACATAGCCCAGTTGATTTGGCACTTCTTGAAGAAAACTATCTAGTTTTCTCTTGGAGATGTCCACGTTTGTTTCGGCATTTTTTTTTATACTCGCTGGGAGGATGTTGAACAACTGTGGCCCTCTGATGTTTGTACAGTGTTTTCTGTGCCTATGACACCCCTGCTTTTTACTGGTTCTTTTCTGCATTTTCTTCCATGCCGTTCCCTTAAGTATGTTGTTATTTTACTGTATAGATTTGGGACCTGGCCCTACAGTATTTTCCATGTGTGTATTATTTTATATATCTCTCATCTCCTTTCTAGTGAGTACATTTGGAGAGCTTTTGAGACAATCCCAATAATTTAGGTGCTTTATCATGTCTATGTATGCAGTATATGCTCTATGTATTCCCTCTAATTCAGTAATCTCTCCCGCTCTGAATGGGAAAGTGAGTATTGAGCAGTACTCAAGATGGGATAACACACGTGATTTTAATTAAGTGATAAATACAAAACAAATGGAACACATTTGAAACAAAGAAAGATTGTCATAATGGAGCAGCCTACCCAACAAACACTGAACGAACCTTTTGCTATAACGAATATGAAAGACAAGGGCTGCTGGAAGGGTTAGTAGTGCGTGAGCAACCATTTGTGGCACACGTGCCTCTGGCTCTCAAACACCTGTCCCACACGGTGTTGAAAGACTGTGCTCAGTCGGTGCAATTCAGACCCTATTGTTTGAAGAACATAAGGGTCATAACATTGGTGAAGCTAGGCGCAATAAGGGCTTAACACAACGGTCGGATGCCTGTGATACAGCACCTATGAGGATGATACAGCGAGCGTATCCAGGTGTAGCTCTGAGCCCCACCCTTGCCATCTCTAATGTATATAGATGATACATAGATGAATCGTTTTCTGCGTTCAGTGATGATGCATCTGATACAAGTAGCATAGATGAACAGTGTTAGCGGCTTCCATGGTGGTGGTGTTCATTGATATTTTTAAGAATACCTGAATCTTTTCCTGACTGATGGACACTCTTTGAGGCTAGCTGAATCTCTTCCTGTGTGGGACCTTACAAAGCGATCTTTTCAAGACTACCTTACAAATTGAGCTTTTCCTATAATCGTTTCAATACTACCTTATGCTTTACAAGCTTGGCTACATACCACCTACAAGTACTAAAGCCAAGGATGCACGCGAGTGCATTATTTGCAAGCACACAGAACGATGAAACAGGAAACAAAAATCTATCTGTAGCTGGTGCAAGGAGAGCAAAGTCGCGCTGTGTACCATGGACTACTTCGTTGACTATTACGCACCTCCAAAGTACTGAGTGTGTAATACAGTGTGTTACTGTGTAAATAGTATGTGAAACTGTACATATTGTAATATTAGTGCATTTTTACCACGTAATATTGTGACAATAAACATTTATTGTGGACACATTACTGACACATGTATCACAGTTTCATGGAAAATTATGAACATTCTACTGTATACATATTGTAAAGGTCACAAATATGCATCATATACGATAAAAGAAACAAATAAAACCGCATTGGAAATGCATAGGAAAAATATTTGAAAATATATTTGTGGCAACACGCGGTGCTTGAATGGCCTGCGCGACCGTGTCTGGGAGCTTCACACACGGGCGACCAACCCCTGATGACATCACAGTGCACCTTGTCCACGCCCTCACAGCCAAAGTAAGTGGAATTTGGTAATTATTTTTACATAGACATGTTCAGGGACGGTAATTTATCATTTTACAAAGAAAAATTATATTTTGGGGAACATTTGATGTCATGCACACTAGGGAAATTTCACAATAAACACAGTGCATCACACTGGTTACATGGGGGACACTCGTTTTGTATGACGTCCGTTTCACATGACGAACATGGAACGGATTAAATTCGTTATGGGAGGTACCACTGTACTACCATTTTGATGGATCCTTGGATTTGAAGGTTCTCGTATTCCATCCTATCATTTTTTTAGCTGACGCTATAATTGCTTGGTTATGGTCCCTAAACGTTAAGTCATCAGACATCAGTATACCCAGATCCTGTACATGCTGCTTTCCTACTATGGGCAGATTTGCTTGTGTTTTGTAACCTATATTTTGTTTAACTCCTGGGTGGCACAGTTATTATCCCTTGTGTTGCTAAGGGCTATTTCGCCATTGTCACCCACAGGCGCATAACAAAAAAAAAATATTCGAAACCTGTTAATTTGAGTTCTCTGATCACGGGAAAAAATAATAATAAAATCGTAAGTGGCATATTTTGCCCGCTATAGGGCGGGGAAGTCTGGCAAAAAAGAGGCGCTGACTCAGCGTGCATCCGAGGCGGTCTGCTCAGCCCCAGCTGTCAGGCTGGAGTGGCCACAAAGAGATAATTACCTAATTATTTCAATGTCTCTGATTGATTTGTCTGTTTTTTTTTTTGCTGTAATATTAATCAATAGTGTGTAGTGTGATACATATATATAATAAAATGTGTGAATCATCGCTGTACTCAAAATTATGGTGTGCATATTATTGATTCAATTATTGTGTTCATAAAACAATAAACAAATACTTTGTCGGTTATTACACTATATACACAGGTTATATATACGTATCTGCATGTTTTGTTCACCAAAACGACCCTCTAAGTTGATATTCCGAGTCAAAAAGCAGGGAGGTGTGGCCACCACATCTGCCAGTCAGCCTCTCGCTTCCACTCCTTCCCTCAATGACTACACACTCGTCCACATCTTCCTCCCACCATACTGTGTTTTTCTTTTATTCACTATATACAGCCATTATGTATAAGTATCTTCATGTTTGGTTCACCATAACTGTTCATAGTGGCAGCCCGCCACTGGCTGTCACTCCCTCCCTCTCCTCACCTGACTTGCCAACATTTGCCTCCTACCATACTGTTTTTGGTTTTATTCACTTTATACAGACGTTATATATATGTATCTGCATATTTTGTTCACCATAGCAAACAACTAAGCTGGTATAGTGAGTCCAGACAGTAAAAGGTGGTCACACAGAGTCAGCAGACAACGCTACCTCCCTCCCCACCAAGATTACTCTTCCCACTACAGCGCTAATTATCACAACAATCCTGCTATTATCAGAATCCTGGTCATTTTTATCAGTCAGGGGTCTTCTGTAATACTATCATCGCTAAATAATAGCATGTAGATATATATTATGGCATTTTTAGGCGATACTGTGGTCACAGGCTGAACAGTAGTGCTGTGAGCTCATGCTGCATGCGTCAGCCTAGGTGGCTCACTCAATACTGAGGACCTCACACCCGGGAATGTGGCCCACGATTTTTTAAAAATGGCGTCTGTTACAAGAGCCCTGATGAAGGTGAGGTGAACCCTGTGTATCCACGGGCCGTTTAAATCTTGTGTAGTACTCCAACACGTCATATGACGTGATGCGCACTTTTGGGTAAGTTACTCAACACGTCATATGACATATTGCGCAATTTAAGGGTTAATTAACTACTGTACTATTGTACTTAACTACTGTACTACTGTACAACACTACTGTACGCAAGAAAAAAAATTCCTTCTGAGATTGTTAAAATGTGTTCTCGGATCTTGGTGAAAAAAAATCATAGGTGACATATTTTGGCCATGATACGGCGAGGAAGTCTGGTGTGGGAAAACTTCCCACATCTTTATAATATCGTTAACACAGCATGCAGTAAGAAATTACTGCTGTTCCTTGTGTTAATTAAATCATAAATTAAACAGAAAAAAAAGTTACCCAAAAAGGGGGCAGATATAACAATTTCTCTTTAGAAAATGTACAACAGAAAACTAGAATGTCATGTCACTAAGTGGATGAGTAATATGTATCAGTTCTTCAATACCTTTTAGATTATCAGTCTGTGGACTGAATCTATTCTAAAATTAAAGAAACAACAGGTCCGACGAGGCCTGAGGGGTGCCTGACAGCTGAGTGGACAGCGCTTCGGATTCGTAGTCCTGAGGTTCCGGGTTCGATCCCCGGTGGAGGCGGAGACAAATGGGCAAAAAGTTTCTTTCACCCTGAGGCCCCTGTTACCTAGCAGTAAATAGGTACCTGGGAGTTAGACAGCTGCTACGGGCTGCTTCCTGGGGGTGTGTAACAAAAAGGAGGCCTGGTCAAGGACCGGGCCGCGGGGACGCTAAGCCCCGAAATCATATCAAGATAATCTCAAGATAGGCCAGGTTCTGGCTTGTGGTCCCCGGTAGGCTGAACTTCAATTGACTGATGCCCCAGACTAGTATATCGCATATCAGTCCAATAGCTCCAGGGAGCCTCTGGGGATCGCCCAGAAAAATGGTGTTTCATTACATTCAACGCTGGTTTTTTCTGTCCATATTCTTATTCGATGGTGTGTACTGTGGTATATTGATATAATAAAATATGTGAACAATTGCTATATTCAAAAGTACGGTGTGCATATTAGTGATTCAATTACTGTATATTCATAAAATAATATTTTTGCTGTTATTACTGTATTCACGTTATATATAAGTATTTCATGTTACGTTCACCATAACCGTACCACTAAGCTGGTATGGTGTCTTAACAGCATAGTGGCCACCATACTCTGTATGACTCAAGTCATACAATAGACAGCCGATGACACCACCTCCCTCACCAACATTGCTCCTCCCAGCATTCTATGCATACTGCTAATTCTCACCACAATGATGCTATTATCAGAATCCTGGTCAATGAATCTTGTAAATGAATTAACATCCACAAGTTTATTTTGTAAAGGAACATGAGAAGTCATTTCAGAATTCTTAAAATCTTCAATCTCCATGTTTAAATTATTCTTTCTTTGTAGGGAAAGTCATGTCTGATTAAGCATTTCCATTATTTCTTTCCTTCTTTTGTAGTGTCGTCTGCGTTATCTTTGTACGTTTTACCTCTTTCTGGCTTTCTGCAAAGGAACATTATTTCAGATTGACTTTATATGCTTCAGAAGTCAGTAGTTTTATTCCATATGTGGGACTTCTATTACTTATAACAGTTTTCCATTGAGTGTTTGTAAGTTCCCAGTTTATTTTTTTTCCAGTTTATCCTTTTATTATTACAATTTAATTTACTGAATAAACTCTCTCGCTTGATCATTGTTTTAGGTCTATTATTTCTGGCCGAAACGCTACGCGTACTAGTGGCTTTACAAGAGTGTAATTACTGTACTATGCTATGTATTCTCACAAACCCAATGTACCTTCTTGTATATAAATAAATAAAATAAAATAAAAACTTATGAGTATTAATGTTTGCACTCCAATCAGCTTGAGATATGAGTATGTGGCATCTGAGATAGTAATGTCCCTGATTATGTCTTCATTGTTTGTGAAGCCCAGGGGCCAGATTCACAAAGCAGTTACACAAGTACTTACGAACGTGTACATCTTTCCTCGATCTTTGACGGCTTTGGTTGCATTTAGTAAACAGTTTATATGCATGAAAACTTCGCAATCAACTGTTGGTATTGTTATAAACAGCCTTCAGGTGCTTTGGAGCTCATTAACTGTATAATTGTAAACAAAGCCGCCAAAGATTGATAAAAGATGTACAGGTTCATAAGTGCTTGCATAACTGCTTTGTGAATCTGGCCCCTGATCTAGAATATTTTCGTTCCTAGTTAACCTTGTTATCTACTGGTTGAGTGAAAAATTTTCACAGAATCTAAGTAGTTCTCTAATCTGTGGTTGGTTATATCCCAGATATTTTCAGGGAGCCACAAGGGGAGCCCCCAGAAAACCGGCATTGAATGTAATGAAATGTCAATTTCTAGGTGAGCCGTGGTGGCTTCCTGACATGCTCCATCCCCCTAGGGCATTGGGCTGTTCCCATCACAATAGAACTGAAGGTGAAGCAGCTGGCTGACACCTGGTTGCATCTCTCCTTCCCCAAAATGAGGGGGAAGAGGTGGGGCAAATGAGCTAGCACTTGTTTCATAAGTTTCTATAGTTTGTTTACATTGTTAGAGGAGTTCTTTGGCAGTTCTGAGACTGCAGTCTCTCTTATCACCAGTAGTGGTCTGTTTTGTTTTGCTGACTTTCTGAGTGCCTTCCCTTGGTGGTGACAAATATGAATCAATTCATAGTAATTTTATCATATGTGCTACTGATCCCTGCATGACTAGAGAGGCCAGGTTCTGGTGTGTGGTCCTTTGTTTGCCTAAAAGAACTCTGTGACTGATGGTATCTAGTAGTTTGGCACAATATACATCGGCATAGTAGCTTTAGGGACCCTACGGGGCTCACCCAGAAATTGGCGTTTCACTGCATTCGGCACTCATTTTATGTTAATCCTGCAGGTTACTGATTGCTACCAGAGGCTGGAGTTCCTGGGTGATGCAGTGTTGGACTACTTGGTGACAGGACACGTGTACTCTCATCATTCTTCGTTTTCCCCTGGGCAGATATCCGACTTAAGGTTAGCCCTTGCCAAAATGTACTGTTTGTCTTCAGGTCTTTTAGCCCTTACTGTGCGTCAATCATTTGAGAGTGATTGGCCACTGAACTTAAATTGCCTAACCAGAATTTGTGCTCCACTGTAACCCTTAAACTGCGCATGACATATATATATATATATACGACTGGAGTAACATGTCCCACTGTGCGCATGGCATACATATACGACATAGGGTGCCGGCAGCTACATTCAAATTCTAGATTCTGCCGGCAGCTAGATTCAAATGGCCCGTAGGGTGCCGGCAGCTAGATTCAAATGGCCCGCAGCTACACAGGGTTCACATCAGCTTCCTCAGGGCTCTTGTAAACAGACGCCATGTTTAAAAAAAATCGTGGGCAACATTCTCAATCAACACTCGTGAGAGCCACAGTACTGTGTGGGCAACCAAGGCTCGCACATGCAGCATGAGCTAACAGCACTGCTGTTCAGCTTGTGACCACAGCATCTCTTAAAAATGTCAAAATAAATATGTAACTACAAAACACCACTTGGTTTCCGAAACCCTTGGGGATGAGACCCGTCGGTTAACATGTAAGTTTGTAAACGAGAAATAGAGGGAAAAAATAAACTAGAAATATAAAAAAAAAAAATTTACGAAAAATTTATGAAAAAAACTCTAGGGGAAAAATTGACAGGTTCATAGTGTAAATGCGACCGTATTTTGTTTGTACTCGCCAATAAGTGAAGTCATGATCCGCTTTATAAATGTCCTTAATTGTTCCTAGCTGATTATTAAGATGTCTGGCAAACATCCTCTGGATGTTTCCTGCCAGCCTGCAGGAACATCCTGCCAGCCAGCCTGCCTGCAGGCACATCCTGCCAGCCGGCCAGCCTGCCTGCCAGCCAGCCATCCAGCCTGCCAGCCATCCAGCCTGCCTGCCAGCCAGCCATCCAGCCTGTCATCCAGCCTGCCATCCAGCCTGCCAGCCAGCCAGCCAGCCAGCCAGCCAGCCAGCCAGCCAGCCAGCCAGCCAGCCAGCCAGCCAGCCAGCCAGCCAGCCAGCCAGCCAGCCAGCCAGCCAAACCCACCCAGCCAGCCAGCCAGCCAGCCAGCCAGCCAGCCAGCCAAACCCACCCAGCCAGCCAAACCCACCCAGCCAGCCAAACCCACCCAGCCAGCCAAACCCACCCACCCACCCACCCACCAACCCTCCCTCCCTCCCTCCCTCCCTCCCTCCCTCCCTCCCTCCCATCATGCTAACGGGTCGAGTGTGTTAGGCTCATCTTCGGTAGTGAGTTGGTCTCTTGCCCACCACCAACATCCCCCCCCTTTATCCCATACTCTCTCTTCAAGGTCACGCAGGTCAACCGCATGACTACCCCTGCCTGCCTGCTTTTCCCTCCCTAATTCTCACTACTTCTCTCCCTTCCTGCCTACCTCCTAGCATCTCCCCCTCCCTCCTAGTATCTCTCCCTTTCTGACTAATTCTCCCCCCTCTCTCACTGATTCTCCCCCTCTTGCTCGTACTGCCTCCCACCTAAGCTCCCCCATCCATCCACCCACCGGTCAGTCATCACTGACACAATGTGTGCATTTGGAGCCGACATGGTGCACAGATGTTTCTTGATTGTGCAGATATGTAAAACAAAAGCACAGAATGAACATTCCAGCCTTATAACAATTCAAAATAATAGGAATAATAGGCTGTGAATCTGTGAAGTCACAGTGGGCCAACTGGTCCATCTCCCACCAACCACCACAGGCCGGTGTGACGCTTGGCGGACCCCTTCCTACCTGAACAAAAGCATGACTTCTCAACCCCAATCGGGAAACTGGAAGTTTCGGATAACTAAAGTTCTGAAACCAAGTGGTGCTCTGTACTATTATTTAGCGATGACAGTATTACAGAAGACTTCTGACTGTGACAAAAATGACCGGATTGTGATACTATAATAGCATGATTGTTGTGATAATTAGCGTTGCGTGGGAGGAGTAATACTGAGGGAGGGAGATAACGTCTTTTACTGACTGTGTGGCCACCTGTTATTGTCTGCATTCACCATACCAGCTCAGTGGTTCTCTATGATGAAAACAAATGTAGATATTTATATATAACCTGTGTATTAGTGTAATAACAGCAAAAGGATTGTGTTGGGAGGAGCAATTTGGGTGACGGAGGTGGCGTTGTTTGCATGACTTGTCTAGCTGTGTAGAGGGTGGCCACTATGCTCTTTGGGCACCATACCATGTTAGCTGTACAGTTATGGTGAATAAAACATGTAGATACTTATGTATATAATGTGTGTGTGTGTATATAGTGTAATAACACCACAAACAGTATTGTTGGGGGAGAAATTTTAGTGCATCTGGCCTTGAACCAGTGAGGGAGGCAGCCTCCAGCTGACTGTGAGGCACATGCACATGCTGACCCTAGGTACCTTGTAAGTACTGCCCTTTGGGACTTGGGGGCCATCTTCCACAAGTCACCTTGGGGTCTACCTCCGCAAGGTCTTTTGCTGCTCGGTGATTAACCGCTCTTGGAGTCAGTTGGGTTTTTTGCACTACTGTTTGCCTCTGGGTAGAGGTAGTTATGTCACTGGTTGGGGAGCAGGGTACTGTGCAGCTAGTTTTCACCTCTGATAGTGGCCGGTTCTGTTCCGTCTGGGCACATTGTCCTCTTGCGGAGTTTTCTTTTGTTTTTGTTTTCGTGCCAGGTGGGGGGTCTGCTCTTTGGTTTTGGTCACACCTATTTATATCTTGGTGATCCTCCACTAGTCCTCTGTGAGTGTACACATCCCGGGGGTTCAGCTTTAGCAGTTTGATTGGTAACTTTGGGCACCGGTTAGCAGTATCCTGCCTGGGTTTCCCTTAGCGAGATTACGCGACTAAGGGCCCCTGGGAAACCCTCCACTGGGGGCTCTTTGATCTGATGGATTCAACCCCTAGGTTCCCTCTCGCTTCGTGCGAGTTTAAAGGTTGCTCTGTCTCCTTATTTCAGGGTGACACTCACTGTTTGTGCCTCCATCATGCTGCCTGTTGGGTCGGTTGTAACACCGTAAAGGTGTTTTGTTTAGTTTTACTTAATATATATATAGTTCATGAGTCACAGACAAGGATTTGAGAGGTGCCATTCTGTCGGCCTGAAAGTCATACCTCTAGAGTGTTAATGACCACCAAGTGACAAAGATCAGGTCATGTGAAGTTGACCTTGTTTCTGCTAAGGCTTTATTTCTGCTAAGCTTTGGGGCCTTGGGCCTTGTTGGACCCCGCTTGGGTTTTTGTACCCTTCGAGCGGGGCTTGCTGTTACTGGGAGTGGGGTTTTCATTTCCTCCCTCCTCGTATGAGTTGGATTATGCGTCAATCCCTCCCAGAGTTCGGTTCCGTGCGCCCTTGGATTTTTCGATCCCATCCTTCCGGAGGTTTTCGATCTCTCACATCCTGCCTTGTGTGGTGCGGGAGGCGACTTCCATAATGGGTCAATCTTCTTTCATGTTTGGATCTTTTCCTTACTAGGTTTGTTATGAGGTTCTGGAGTCATCCTGGCTTGCAGACTGCCCCTTTTTCTCGTTGGGGGCGTGGCATAAGTTTTGTCAGTCCTGCACGCTTCAGTGGTGCGATGATCATATGGTGGTCCAGGTTTTCCTGGGGGGGGCAAATTTGAGCACCTCGATGTGTGCTTGTTTGCCCCTGCCCTTCCTCGGAATGTCAGCATCGTGCAACTTCACATGAAGGTTCTCACCCTCTCGGCTGCCCTGGTCACTGAGGACTTGTGTGCCCCGTGACCTGTTGGTGTCGGTCTTGTGGTTCTCTTCCCTTCTCAAGCTGTCCTCAGTCTTGTGGTTCTTTTCCTTTCTCAAGCTGTCCTCGGACTGACTTGAGGATGTAGAGGCATTTGGGGCCGATCCTGGGTCTGGTATGTTGGTCTCGGCAGTGCGTGCTTGGTCTGCTCTTTTGAAGCTGTTCACGCAGATTCTGCAGGATGAGGTGCCGCTGTTTTTTGCTTCCCGTCTCGTGTGTTGGCAGGCGGTGCTGGCTACTTCCGTGGAATCCCCTTGGGCCCCTGGCTCTAGGGTTTTCTTCGCCTTTTTGTCCTTTGCCATTTGCAGAGTCTGTGGTGGTGCAGTATCTGCAGGCAGTGTCTTCCAGTTGTCGGACTTGTTGGTTCTCCAAATGACCCGTGAGGGGTCTTCCCGGAAGGGTTGTGCCAGGGTTTGGGGTTCCTCCCATCGTGGTAGGCCAGTGGTGTCAATTTTGGGGCCAGCGCAGCCTTCGGAACCATCTTCGTTTAGTCGGCGTGGTAATCGCTCTGTGCAAAGGTCGGGTTCTTAGAAAGGGTGTCGGCCCTTTTGCGGTTCATCCTATTGACGAGGCGATGAGGGGAGTCTCATGCTGTTTGATTACACTGGTCCCACGATATGTGGGCCTTTTGAGTTGTTTCATGCGGCCTGCGGTGGCATTGGGTGACCTCTCCCCCCCCCCTCCTCCTCCTTCAGGGGGTTCAGGGTTGGTGGGGCAGGCCTCTTCTCCTGCACTGTGTCGGGTCATCTCAGAGTGGGTTCGCTTGGGCGTGATCGAAACGACCCCTCAGGTGAGTTTCCCACCTGTTTCTGGTTCCGAAGCGGGATTGCAGACCTGCGATTCATTCTGGACTTATTCCGTCTAAACCCCTGGGGCTGTTGCCTCTCCTCTTGGATGGCCACCTTGTCCCAGGTCCGGCTTCTTTTGGAACCAGGCGCTTGGATGGTGTCCCTGGACGCTTATTGGTACCTCCCGATTCATCCAGCGTTCTGGGACTGGCTCGATTTCTTGTTTTGGGACGTCAGAGTTACCGCTTTCATTGTTACCCGTTTGGGTTGACCCTGGCACCTCACATGTTCACACGTCTTATCCGGGTCGTTGTGGCTTGTCTGCATCTGTTAGGTGTTCGGGTGTTGGCTTACCTCGATGACTGGCTGGTTTGGGTTTCCAGTCGGTCTGCGTGTGTGCTCGCCAGGGGTGTGGTGCTTTCATAGCTTGCTGGGCTCAAGTTCCTGGTGAACTGGCAGAAGTCCCATCTGGTCCCCTCCCTGGTTCGGACCTGGCTGGGCCTTGTGTGGGACTCTCGGACCGCTTCCTTGTCTCATCCTCTGGAGTCTCTCCTTCGGCTGCAGTCCCGCATGCACTGGTTTCTGGGGGCTCCCGGATCACCTGGCGGTTGCACGAGGGTCTGTGCAGGAGCCTGAACTTTGCGATAATGGTCTACCCACCGGGTAGAGTTTGGCTTTGTTGGCTGTTCTGGTTCCTTTGGGGATGTCCCTTCCGCCTCTCGCGATGGCTGGGTTCGACCCCTGGGGGGCCTTACATCAGCTGCTGCGCCGCCGGCTTTCTCTTTGGGTTTTTAGGGGTTCAGTGCCTTGGCACCTTCCTGAGCCCTCGCTCGATGTGTTCACGGACGCATAGTCTCTCGGCTGGGGCTTTGTGACCAGTGCTCATCAGGCCGGCCAGGGGCAGTGGGGACCGTCCTTCCGTCGGGTCCATAGCACCGTGCGGGAGTTTGCGGAGGTGTGGTTTGCGCTTCGGAGGGCTCGGGTCGCCCGTGGATCAACGATCCGGTGCCATTCGGACTGCTCCATGGCAATTCATTGCCTGAACCGAGGGGGTTCGACCAGTGCTTGGCTCTTTGGAGTTGGTTGCTTTGGGTGAATCGTCTGCTGAGTTCTCGGGGTTTGGCTCTCCTGGTGGTTCACGTCCGAGGGGTGTCCAACGTCTTGGTAGATGGCCTGTCCTAGTTCGTTCCCCTGTCCATGGAATGGACCGTCGATGCTGACTCATTCAGTTGGCTCTGCCAGACATCCGGGTGCCCAGAGGTGGACCTCTTCGCGTCGGCGTGGTCAAGGCGTCTTCCAGTATATGTGGTGCCCTTTCCTAAACGCGAGGCTATTGTGTTCAACGCCTTTCAGCAGATCTGGTCATCGTGAGGGTTCCTGTAGCTCCTTCTTCCGGTTCAGCTGTTGCTCCGGATCCTGACTCGCTTGGAGACGTACCAGGGGCGAGTTGTCCTCGTGGCCCCATGGTGGCCAGCCCAGCTGTGGTTTCAGGCGCTGCTTGCCCGTTGTCCCAACCCGGAGGTTTTTCTGCAGCTCCGCCTCTTTCAGAAGATCGGCGCGGTCCGTTACAAGACTGGTTCGCTCCTCTCCTCGAGTCTTCGCGTTTGGTATTTTTGACTCGAGTTTATCACCATTTGTATGGTGATCAAGTGGCTTAATAGTGCCAGTCTCTATTATGCTATAGTATGTTATTATTCTCTGAGAGCATAATAACACCAAATGAACAATTGGTGATACAGGCATACCTCAGAATAAGAGTTTAATCTGTTCCTGGAGACGCCTCGCCTTCCGAAAACTCGCATTCCGAAGTTAATTTCCCCATAAGAAATAAAGGGAAATGAATTAATCCGTTCCTGACTACCCCAAAAACCCCACATCAAACTAAATTTTTATACCTAATTTACTTAATTCATCTAAATAAACCTACAAAACTGTGTTCCAGTTATTACTTACCTTGCTGTCGAGTGCTGTAGGCGTATGGAAGATGGTGAGGAGGGGGGAGGAGGAGAGGAGTTACTGTTTGGAAGGGGAGTTCCCTTCCATAATCACATCACATAACCCCATGCCTTGTAACACTATGGATACCACTTCTCTTTCTAAATTTTTCAAACCAGCCCCTGCTTGCCTTAAACTCTTTCTTATCTGCATCACTCGTTGCAGGGGTATTCTTTAGAAGGTCTTCGTGCAACACCCTGGCTTTCTCACAAATAATGGCCTCCGAAACACTATCACCCCTCAACTCCTTGTCGTGTATCCAAATTAATAACAACTTTTCCACTTCTTCAAGTATTTGTGGTCTTTGTGCCGTTAATGTTCTTACTCCTTTTGCCACTTTAGCACCATAATCTTATTTTTCTTCTTAAGTATAGTGCATATTGTTGATGTGGCTTTGTTGTACTGCCTACAAAGTTCAACAACATGTGTACCGTTCTCATGCTTCCGAATGATCTCTTGTTTCTCCTCTATTGTCATCCTCACATGAGCTTTCTGGCCTTTATCCTTACCACTGACTTTCTTGGGACCCATGGTGAGATATATAATAACAAATTGTATAGACAAATCACCAAAAATCCAACAAAACACTGAAAATCCGCGAGAAGAATTGATGTGGGGGTAGTCACTGAGCGCGAGACAATGGTAAACTGAGGGGCGGAGGGGCGACGATCGCCGAACCACCACGCGCTAGGTCGGCCTGTACGCGTATCAACAAACTCGCGTCCCGAAGTAACCCTCGCCTTCTGAGACAAATTTTTGGAGTAAATACTGCTCGCCTTCCGAAAACCTTGCATACAGGGACAATCGCATTCCGAGGTACCACTGTATTTTATATTTTTCCAGCTGATTTCAAAAGCTGAAGTTTCAATACTCAATTTTAGAATTATTTTTTATTTTCTTGTTTTTCAAGTTAAGTTGGTGATCATTTAGACAAAGTTGGAGCATTTGCTAGTAGATTATGCAGAAAATATTTGAAAGTGTTTGATCAAGTTTGAGAAACTTGTGTTCCATGTCCATACATATATGTATTGCACCATTTAAGGGTTAAGAATGCTTTCAAACATTTTGTTCTCTTTCTCCCTAAAAACTGGAAAAATACAAATATAATAATATTAATTATAATATGGCTCAAAATTCCAATGGACACCTGAGATAAGTTTTTGGAAGATTATTGCCAATTTGGGCACCCACTCACAATTAGGTTTGCCACCCCTGAACTGGTCCACTGTATCATCTTCAGTAAGTAACAAATTGGCATTTTGTAAGTTCATGAAAAATTCAATACGATAATAATAATTTTCAAATGTTTAACTTCTCATTCTCCAGGTTAATTTTTAGGGGTTTCATTCTGTGGTGATTTGACTCCATTTTCCTCTATGTTGTTCAACTTTATAATGACAATTATTATTACTTTATTTGCCTCTAAATATTAAGATCTACAATACACATGTAAAATTTATTATTATTTCTTGAGTTTTATCATTTAGGTTGTGAGAAGGTTATATATGTACTAATTTCATTGCAGATCACATTATGTCAAGAATGAAACTCTGGCCAGAGTTGCTATAGACAAGAAGCTTCACAAACATTTACTTTACCTGGCACCCAAACTAGAGGCTTCTATTGATAAGTTCCTGAAAATTTGTGAAGACTCCTACATGGAAGATACTCTGAATACGGAAGCAGACGAGGTGGATGGAGAGGTAATGATATTAGTATTCCAAGATGTGAACTGAGATGATATTTCTTGACAGGTAAATAGCATTGGAATAGGGACACTATTTGATGTGACTATTTAACAGTTGCAGCTGTCTAATTTTCTTACTCAATAATACAGTGGGCAGGTTGTCTCTTGGGGTGGTTCGTGAATAAGCCGGCCTGCAGGCTGTGACTTTTGGTTGCCTGGGTTGTAGTGGGCAAGTGTATTTAAGCATTAATTTCACTGCAGTAACAATTGTTTTTATTGTTATCTTGAAAATGGTCGAAACAGTTATTGGTATTTGTTTTGGAGCACTAATTTGATCTGGTAGAATTTTGGTACTATAGTGATCTCTGATCTCTAGGCTTTCCTTTGCCTCTTTGAGAGGGCCAGAATCCTGGTCGTCAGTAAGTCTTTGTGAGTCATAGTCCTGATGTGTTCCCAAAAGCTTAGTCACTTCCATTCTTAAATGGAATTGCCACACCATAAGTATTAACTTTACCATGGAAAAAACTAAAAAAAAAAAACTCTTAGATAGTTATTATTGCTAAACATATTGAATAAATTATTGAAATATTGCAGTTATTAACAGTGTTTTATTTATTGCAGGATGTTGATGTGCCTAAAGCATTAGGTGATCTTGTTGAAGCCATCATTGGAGCTGTGTATCTTGACAGTGCGAGATCTCTCGAGGTTAGTTGATTAACATTGTAAGAATTGCCAAAGAAATGAACTAGGTATAATTTGAATGTCATGCTTTACTGACTTTTGTTTTCTCGGGGGGGAATTCTATGAAAACCAAATGAAAACGAGCAAGCAAGCATGACGTCACACGAGTTTCATGTTTCCTGTCAAAGAAATTATGTCCTCTTAACAGTCTCACTGTGATCACGCATTTCCAGGGTTACCTTCCATGTTGGGTTTGCGTATCTGTCCCTGAGATTGCTCACCTCTTTTGGAAAAGTCCTTGCCCCATATACTGCATTGTTCTGTGACTTGTCTGTGAGGCTCAGGGTTGGGGTGGGGTATTCAGGGGTTTGTTTGTTGAGCTGTGCAGTAGTTTCTGTGCATTTTTTGGGGGGAGCCCCTATGGCTCTCTAGAGCTATCCATACTGATATGAATATCCCTAACTTCTGCATCAGTCGATGTGGGTGGAGTTCTGGGCCTACCAGGGAACCACGAGCCAGAACCTGACCCTCTCAGAGAGGCACGAGGAGCAATGGCTTATAGAAATGCACATGTGATTTGGAGCATTCTCTATCTGCCATTCACTGGGACAGGCACCCAGAAAGGTAAGCACCCCAAAACAAACCCCTATGTATTCTGGTTAACAACAACGAAAATGTGTTGGACGGGTCCACTTGGGGCAGCTATAGCACGTTACGTAGGCCGCCAGGAGGAAAAACACTCACAATATTTTTTAAGGAAACTTCAGTCTGTGCACATTGCTTTTAGGAAACTTATTGAATTGTTATTACATAATTACTAGTACTTATTTCATTTGTTTTTGGCTATGATTAATTGTTCTAAAATTAATGGTAATTCCTGTACCCAGGTGGTCCCCTCCTGACGCTCCCCTCCCACCCTCCCGACACCACCCACCCACCCCACCCCTTACTCCACCATGTGTCTAGAGCCACAGGCAGACGGGATTAGTACGGCCGAATTTTTATCCGGCCAAACCAGCTTTTATCCGGTTCCTGTGGCCATTTTGGCCAAATATTGTGATAACTTTATCTGGTCACGATTTTGGCCGTATAAGGGCATTTTCCGGATGTTCGAACCCCGGATTATCGCAGGGTTACAGTATGTCCTGGGGTGACATTCGGGCGCGGGGATTTTGGCGGTCGAACAGGGTCCTGGCTGCTCGTTACCTTTTAAACGTTCCTGGGCCCAGTCGGGTCTGTGTCGCTTTGGGTCGGCGGATGCAGCCAGTTGTCTCTACTTCGGGTTGAGGAGTGAGCAGCTACCACCTCCCGGGTAAGTCTCTATTCTTTTCCTCTGTGGGTAGTTAGCTCCGAGGAGCCGTAGGGGCTTCCCCAGAAAACCAGCATTGAATGTAATGAAACCCCATTTTCTGGGTGTGTCCCGGAGGTTCCCCGGCATCCCTCCCTCGCTCTGGTCAGTGGTTTTTTGCGTGTTTTTGACTTCCAGCCTCAGAACTGGGGTGTGGAACGCCGGTGCGGTAGGTCTGGGGCTGCCCCTTCCCCCCTCCTGGAGAGGGGGGGACTGCGACGACGGATGACGTCATACTAGTTTGCTCGTTTTTGTTTGGGGGAGTTCTATCCACTTGTTTGGCTTTTGGTTGCAATTTTCACCAGAATAAGGGTTTGTTTTGGGACGCCTACCTTTCTGGGTGCCTAACCCGGTCCATAGCAGACATAAAATGCTTCCAATTACATGGGGGTTTCTATAGGCCATTGCTCCCCTTGCCCCTCTAGAGGGGGCCAGGTTCTGGCTCATGGTCCCCGGTAGGCCCATAAGAACTCCATACACATGACTGATACCAAAGTCTGACATTAGCATATCAGCCTAGTAAGTTCCAGGGAGCTTCCGGGACTCGCCCAGAAAATGGCGTTTCATTACATTCAACGCTGTTTTTTTTTTTTTTTTTTTTAACCCCTTAACTGCGTTGCCTCCAAATGTGACACCCCCACAGTGCGCAGGAAATAAATTCTCTGGAAAAAATTCATTTTTCTTTTTAAAGTGTCAAAACCCCTTCCCTCAGTATGCGTATGTAAAAAAAAAATCGAAATTGTACTTACTTTGGCTGCTATGGGGTCCGGAAGTTGGGGCGTGACGTCATCATTCCCCGTGCGCCCGTGCTGTAAGCTCTCGGGGGCGGTGGGGCGCTCGGGGCGGGGTGCGCGAGTTGCCGCGAATATATTTTCGTTCATTTTTTGCGCACCTTTCCAAATACATTTTCATTGTTTTTATGTGCCAATCCAATGTATAATGAACACGTACACTATAATATCGCAGTACAACATCCGTACTGTCCGTAGACACTGTGTTACGTGCATGAAACTTGTGCGCACATATGCAGCACATATTTACTATGTATCATGCTAATTTGTGTATATATACAATCTATTTACACACTATACACTGTCACACACTATATACATTCACCATCAACACATTCAGAACACCGCGTAGCAGCTGCTTCATATGGGCCAACAGCAGCTGCCTCGTATGGGCCAATAGCAGCTGCCTCGTATGGGCCAATAGCAGCTGCCTCGTATGGGCCAATAGCAGCTGCCTCGTATGGGCCAATAGCAGCTGCCTCGTATGGGCAAATAGCTGCCCCGTATGGGCCAATAGCAGCTGCCCCGTATGGGCCAATAGCAGGTGCCCGTATGGGCCAATAGCAGGTGCCTCGTATGGGCCAATAGCAGGTGCCTCGTATGGGCCAATAGCAGGTGCCTCGTATGGGCCAATAGCAGCTGCCCCGTATGGGCCAATAGCGGCTGCCTCGTATGGGCCAACAGCAGCTGCCTCGTATGGGCCAACAGCAGCTGCCGCGTATGGGCCAATAGCAGCTGCCTCGTATGGGCCAATAGCAGCTGCCTCGTATGGGCCAATAGCAGCTGCCTCGTATGGGCCAATAGCAGCTGCCTCGTATGGGCCAATAGGAGCATTTGACCATGAACACATTCAGAACACCTCGAGTGAGAGCAGCCTCACCCAGCCAGTCTCCCTCACTCCAACATCTTACTCGCCAACATTGTTCCTCCCACCATATTATTATAGTTCTTATTACACATGTTCTATATACCTATCTACATGTTTTTATTTACCAGAACTATGGAAGTAAGCCGGTATTGTGTCCAAACAGTACAGTGGCCACCATACACTGCATGAAAAATCACACAGCAGACGACGCTACGATTACGTCACCTCCCTCACCGAAATAGCTCCTCTCAACATTCTCCTGTTGCTCTTCTTACACTATATACACACACTATATATATCCATGTACATATGTGTTGCCCATAGCGAACCACTAAGCAAGTATGGTGAGCAAAACAAGAGTGGCAGCCACACACACACAATGAGGCTACCTCAATTATCGCCCTCCCTCATCAAAATTCCTCCTTCCACAATACTACGCACAACGCTAATTATAACCACAATCCTGCTATTATCACAATCCTGGTCACTAATTCCTGTAAATGAATAATTGACCACACGTTTATTTTGAAAAGGAACCTAAGAAATCATTTGAAGATTCCTAGATGAACGAAATAATGCTGTGGTGCTGTGGCTAGCGCTGTGAACATCGTGAACAGCATTGAATCACTGATATTTGAACATTGTACCCAGTCATTATCACACTCAGGCTCTAATATAACACTATCATAGCTAAATAATACAAGTTATATATATATTTTGGCATTATTAGGCGATGCTGTGGTCACATGCTGAACAGCAGTGCTGTGCGCTCATGCTGCGAGCGCCAGCCTTGGTTGCTCACACACTACTGAGGCTCCCACACCCGGGAATGTGGACCACGATTTTTTTTAAAGATGGCGTCTGTTTACAAGAGCCCTGAGGAAGCTGATGTGAACCCCATGTAGCCGCGGGAGTTTTGAATGGAACGTGAAAAATACAAATACCCGGAGGCGCGTTGCGCAAACCAGACGTGAGCCTGCAGGCGCGTTGCGCAGTTTAAGGGTTAAGAAACATGGAGCAGCTACATGCCGACCACCGAACGAACCTTTTTGACATTTGTTCTGTTTTTCAAAAAAAAAAAAAAAAAAAAAAAAAAAAAAAAAAAAAAATTATTTAAGAAACATGGAGCAGCCTACCTGCTGAACACCGAACGAATCTTTTGCTATAAGACATTAAAAAAATATATTGAGCAAATTTGAAGAAAGAAAAATGTCATAAACGTTTGTTCAGTGTATGTGAGGTAGGCTGCTCTATTATTTAAAACATCGAATATCATATTGATCTTTTTCGGTGGTAGAACGGATTAATATGTCCCCCATTATTGTCAATGGGGACATTAGTTTTGTATGAGGTCAGTTTCACATGACGTTCACAGCGCTGGAACGGATTAAATTCGTTATTCGAGGTTCCACTGTATATTGTATTTACTTCCATATTGTTTGTCCACAGAAAACCTGGGAGGTAATAAAAGTACTTATGGGAGATATAATGGAGAAGTCCCTCACAAGCATCCCTTTGAATTACGTGCGCGAGCTGTATGAGAGTGCTCCAGGGAAAGTTAAATTTGAAAAAGTTCCTCGTCTCGAAAATGACGACTTTGCTAAGTACTGTGTGCAGGTAAGTGTACAGTGTGTTACATAATATTCTGATCACTAATGGAAGTATTGACTTTAATATATAATAATGATGTTAATAAAAATACTTGGAGAGTCCCTATGGCTCTCCGGAGCTTACCGGGCTGATATGTATGTACTAGTATGTATTAGACCGTGGCATCAGTCGATTGGAGCTCTTGCCTACCGGGACCACAAGCCAGAACCTGGCCCCCTCTCAGAGAGGAACGAGGAGCAATGGCCTATTGAAACCCTCATATATTTGGAAGCATTCCATGTCTGCCATCGACTAGGGTCTGGCACCCAGAACTGTTGGTGTAACAAATCAAACCCCCTCATGGTAAAAAAGGCTACTAAAACCCCAACAGATAGGCAAAACTCCCAAACTAAAAGAAGCAAACGTCACTAACACTTTTGCGTTGATCGTCCGCACAGCTCCCACCCCCTATTTACCCCTAGGAGGTGGAAGGGGGGGCCCAGGCCTCCCTGCGCCGGCCGCTACAGCCACAGTTCCTCGGCTGATGTGGACTGTGGCGGTCGTCGACTCTGGCCTCTGGACACCTAGCAGTTCTGTGCCTTGTGGTGTCTTTCTGCTGTATGTGATGTGCAGGGCAGGAGTAACTCATCAGTACCTAGGCTGCATGCACTAAGTACCCTGTAAGTACTGCCCTTGCATCTTGGGGCTCTTTTCTACAGGGCGTTCGGGAACCACTTCCATAAGGGTCTTTTTCTGCTTGGCAATTGCCCCTTTTAGGGCTAGCTGGGGTTTTTGTTATCACTGTTTGGTCTTGGGTAGGAAATGGTATCGTTGTTGGTAGGGGCATGAGGTATTGTGCAGCTTGTCTCCCATTATTTCCAGCAGCAGGTTCTGTTCTTCCTGGGGATGTTGTGCTTTTGAGGGGTTTAAATTTTATTTTTGTTTGCTTTGCCTGGTGGGGGTCTGCCCCCTTGGTTCATCCACCTTTTATTGTATTGGTGGTCCTCCGCTAGGCCCCCATGCTTGTACACGTCGTAGGGGTCGTCAACCCTTTCGCAGTTCGCCCTGTTGATGGGGCAATAGGTGGGAGACTTGCACTGTTTGCTCTCGCCTGGTTCCACAATTTGTGGGCATTTCGGGTCGTTTCCTTCAGCCTGTGGTGGCGTTCGGTCGTTCCTCCTCCTTTGGGGGGAATCGGGGCTGGCAGGCAGGCTTCTTCTCCTGCACTCCATCAGGTCATCCTGGAGTTGGTTCTCCTTGGGCGTGGTCGAAACGACAGCATCCCTCAGGTGGGTTTCCCGCCTGTTTTCAGTTCCGAAACGGTACTGTGCGAATCTGCGATTCATACTGGACTTGTCCCATCTGAACCCCTGGGTCTTTTGCCCTCCGTTTGGATGACCACTCTGTCTCAGGTCCGGCTACTTTTGGCTCCGGGTGCCTGGATGGTGTCTCTGGACCTCTGTGACTCGTATTGGCATGTCCTGAATCATACGGGGTTCAGGGACTGGCTCAACTTTGTCGTGGGGCGACAGGCTTACCACTTTTGTTGCCTTGATTTTGGTGTGAATCTGGCACCTCGCATGTTCACACACCTTACCTGGGTCGTGGTGACCCGTTTGCTTCTGTTAGGGGTTCGGGTTCTGGCTTTCCTCGACGATTGGCTGGTGTGGGCTCACATCCAATCCATGCATCTGCTTGCCAGGTATTTGGTTCTTTCCTAGCTCGCCAGGTTCTGGTTCTTGGTGAACTGGAGGAATTCCCATTTGGTTCCGTCTCAGTTTTGGACCTGGCTGGGTCTTGTGTGGGACTCTCGGACCGCTTCCTTGTCTCTCCCTCTTGCGGCGTAGTTGCGGCTGCAGTCCCGCCTACGACTATTTTTGGAGGGCACCCGAGTCACACGTTGGTTATTCGGGCAGCTGTGCGGGCAGCCTGAACTTCGCTGTGCTGGTCTATCCGTCGGGTCGTATCTGGCTTCGGCGGCTGTTCTGGTCTCAAGTCTTCATCTGGTCTTTCTGAAGCAAGTCTCACCACTTGTATGGTGAGCAGGTGCCTTTGTTGATGGTGTCCCACCTGCGTGCTTCGTCTCGATGGCAATATGAAGTTTCCTGGCAGTCATTTCTTTATTTTTTGTGTCTGTAGGTTTGCTTCTGTTTTGGTTTGAGTCATCTTGTCTTTCCTTTCTTGGTTGTTTCAGGACTATCATCTTATGCCGAATACTGTCGCCTCATGTTGTGGGGCGCTGGCAGAGCCTCTTCAGCTTGGGTTTGGAATGGCTGTTACTTCCCCACTGTTCCGCAAGCTGTCTCGTGTGTTGTTTCACCTCCAGCCTGCTTATGCGCTGCCTGAGCCATCCTGGCCGTTGGACTGGGTCCTCTCTTTTCTATCTTCTCGGTTTGTTGTGACCCCTTCGGTTCAAGATTGTTTTGCGAAGGCTCTTTTTTCCTGTTGGCATTGGCCTCTGGGGGTCTGGTTAGGGAGCTTCATGCTCTTCTCCGGCACAGGGGGGTTTCTACTCTTTTGGCCCCAGTGGTAGGATTATTCGTTTGCAGTCGTCTCCTTTTCTGGCGAAGAATGAGACTGCTGCTTTTCGGAGGGGTCCTTGGATAGCTGATGCTTGGTTGGTTCAGCCGGGGGTGCATCATGTGTTGTGCCCTGTTGTAGCTCTCCACAGTTACCTGCATGCGACGGCCTCGGTGGCCAGGGACACGATTTGAGTTGACCCAGTTTCCCTTCTTCCCTGTTCCAGGGTTCGGGTCTCCCAGGTTGTCTGCAAGATCATTCAGTCCAGCCAGCCTCCAGTCTATCCTCGTGCCCATGACATTTGTAAGTTTGCTGTGTTGACTGCCATCTTCGGTAACATGTCTTGGGCTGACATTCGGGCACAGGGGCTTTTGGAGGTCGAACAGGATCCTGGCTGTTCGCTACCTAGTCAATGTGCCTGGCCCTAGTCAGGAAAGTGTTGCATTGGGTCGGCAGTTGCTGCCAGTTGTCTCGACTTTGAGTTAAGGAGCGAGTGGCGACTGCTTCCTGGGTAAGTCACCCGGAGGCGTCTCACTCTGGGTGAGACACCTCCGGGTCTCACCCAGAAAATGGCGTTTCAATACATTCAACACCTGTTTTCTGGGGGAGCCCCGTCGGCTCCCCGGAGCTAACTACCCACAGAGGAAGGTCAAAGGGACGGAACCAGGAGGCGGACACCACGCACCCCCCATGGAAGCGAGACAACTGGCAGCAAACACCAACCCAAGGCACCACAGCCCCGAAAGGGCCCAGGGACAACACGAGACAACGAGCAGCAAGGCCCCAGTACGAACACCAAAGATCCGTGCCTGAATGACAGCAAGGACATGCCGCCCAGACGGCAGCAAGAGCAGCGAAGCCACAAATGCCACGGGCATGGGGGAAGAACACAGGCAGGTTAGCCGCAAGAACACGGCTGACAACCCTGGACACCGCCACCCGCGAATAGGGAAGAACGGAACCGGATCAACTCAAAACGCGCCCCGGACACAGATGGCGTGACACGCAAATAACAGCAGAGGGCCGCCACTGAACACAAAACATGACACACCCCCGGCCCGACTAACCAAGCACCAACAAACCAAGGACCCCTCCGGAACGCAGCAGCCCCATCCCATGCCAGAAAAGATGGAGACTGGTGCCACCGAACAACCAAAACGCTAAAACTGAAGCAGCAGAAAAACCCCAGTGGAGGAGCAAGAAGCCCAGCGACCCGACCCCCAGAGGCAAATGCCAACAGGAAAAAGAGCCGACGAAAAGAAAACCGGAACCGAAGGGGCACCACCAACCGAAGAGAAGACAGCACGCTGACCAGAGACCAGGACGGTGCAAGCGGCGCACGAACAGGCCGGAGGTGAAACAACGCACGAGACAGCTTACTAATGGCGCAGAAGCAACATGAAATTACCTAAGTGTAGTTACAGGATGAGAGCTACGCTCGGGACACCACGAGCGTAGCTCTCATCCTGTAACTACACTTAGGTAATAACTTAGGTAATTACGAAAACCGATAGCAAGTTGAAGCGGCTCCGCCAGCGCCGCACGAAAAAAGGCGACAGTATGTGGCAAGACGACGACCCCCAACCCCCACCAGAAAAACCAAGCCGACGCGAACAACTGCAGCCACCTAAGAAGGGACAGGAGGAAAAAAAAAGAAAAGACCGCCAAATTACCCCATACTGTCGCCAAGAAGAAGTACGCAGGTGGGACACCTACCACGAAGCCACCCGACCACCAACCGGAGGCGAGACCACGAGGCAGAACGGAAGCAGCCCCGACAAGGCCCCTCCGAGCCCAGGAAAAGGCGGAGCTGCGGGAAGATCTCGGGCGCGACCACTGAAACCCAGGCGGTACAAGGAGATGGAACGTCGGCCGAACAGAAAGCTCCCCAATGCAAGTAAGTAAGCCCACCAGGAGATCAGAAACGACGGGTCTGACGCGAGACATCGCAAGATCCCGAAAAGCCAACCGGTAGGGCAAGCCAGGAAAACCGAAGAAGGCATAAGGAATGCCTCCAGAAACAGTACCCGAACCAAGGGGCACGAGCAAATGAAACAGACCAAGACAAATAAGCGCACCATAGGACACAGGCTGAAAGAACGCCCTAGAAGCCAAGGGACGCATGCAGAACACCCCTGCAGCAGAGGAGGAAACAAAGGGAACGCACAAGGAAGGGAAGTGGTAGAAACCGAACCCCCAGCCCCCGCCCCAGAAGCAAGTGCAGGCAAAACCGACCAAAGGAGATGCCAGGAAAGCGACTGAGGAGAGGCAGGATGAAAGAGCGGAAGCACAAACCCCAGGAAACAACCAGGGGTGGACAATCAGGCAGGGACAGAAACCCCACGCACATGGGAGGACCCAGCCAGGGACCCGAAGACCACGAAAAATAACAAGCAAACCCCCATATGCAAACCCTAGGTACAAAGCAGCAGCAAAGCGCCACACCATAACCGGACACCAGAACAATGACACGCCACCGCGAAACACGTTACCAATGCACACATGCA